TTCTGCTAATAGATGTTTTAATTAAATAATTGCCTTTGGAAAAAAAAATGATTCAAATTTTTTTTTCAATTTTTTTTGTATATCAAAATTAATTCAAATTTTAATTTTAATTCTGACTAAAGTTCTAATATACTTTAAACAAATAATTTCAACTTTGCAATTCAGTTTATATAAATATTCGATAATGTTACAATATTTATAATAATCTATTTGAAAATATTTAACATTCCTCGAACATTTTGTGGTGCAGGAAGTTCCAGCAATTTGTTTCAAGGGACGATGCCATACACCACTAGTTTTATAATGATAAAAAATACATATTTGAATTATTGAATTATGAATATTTATTTTGTTGTTGTACTTAATAATAACTAGCTGTAAGTGGAATTCTGTCTTAAGTCAATTAAGGCATCGTGCCTTAAGGCAAATTGCTGGAACTTCCCGTACCAAAAATTATTATTTTTTTAAAAACGATTAACATTTTTGAAAAAAATTTACTTTGAAAAAATAAGATTTTTGAGAAACTATAAATTGGACAAAAAATTACTTTTTTTTGAAAAAAAAGTTTTTTTTTAATTTTTTTTTTTCTTTATTTTGACATATTGTGGAAGATCTGAACTTTTTTTTCAAAGCAATCGTACTGCTTTAACTGCATAGGGACAAAATATAAAGCGCGTAAGCGCCGCGTCGCTGTCTAACGCATAAGCATTGGTACGGAACCCATAGGAATGTTAACAAAATGTATACTTATTGTTAAAATCTTTATAAAATATCTGATAATTTGATGTGCATATGTCTAATGATTATTTTTGACCGCCAAATGGCTCATTTTTTTACTTTTTCCTCCATATCTCCGAAACCGCTAGACCTACCTTCAAGAAAATTTTATCGATTTTTCATCTTGTCAATACAAGTGAAACGTTTTTTGAATTATTCAAATCGGACGCTCCGTTCTTTTAAAAACTGAGTTACCGTTTTCTGCACTTTTTGCCCCGTATCTTCGGAACGGCTAGACCTGTCTTTGCCAAAAACTAATCAGCACGTCTCCTTATCAATACGAATCGAATGTTTTTTAAATTATTCAAATCGGTTGATCCGTGTTCCCGAAATCGTCGACGAAAATTTGTATCCGCACATACATACACACACGTACATACACACACACACACACACACACACACACATACATCCATTTTTTCTAAGGTATGCCAAAATGTTCAGAAACCTCTGAAACGTAAAGATATATAAAAATTTTCATTTTCGATTTTTTTGCGATTACTATAACTTACCCTACGGGAAGTTAAAAATGCATCGCATTGATTCAATAATGTAGCTCTAATACTATAAAACCTTTTTAAAATTAAAAATTAAATTATGAATTGTTTTGCCCTTCTGAACAGGTGACAAAATTTTGAAACTTAACATTTAAATAGTACCTATTCAAATGTAAACTTTCGTCTTACATTTCATGCTCTAAAAAAACAACTTGTATGTTATTGGTATTGGTACTTGTATCTTATTGGTAATAAAAATTCAATTAAATTATAAATAGTTTACCTTAGCCTATTAAAGAAAGAAACTAGCAATTTATATCAATTTGAAAATATGAAATCAATACTTCATCAAAAAATCATGAGTCATGTATTATATAAAAGAGATAAATGAAAAGATTACAAGTCAAAGGTAATTTGAATTATAAACTAGTTCATGTTAAAAATGACTATATATATATATATATATATATATATATATATATATGTTTTTTAGATCATTCACATCGGATGCTCAAAATGTCGATTTCTATTTTCGGCACTCTTTGCTCTGTATCTCCGTAACGGTTGGAACGGCCCTTGCCAGAAACTCATCAGCACATTTTCCTAACAATAGGATTTTTTATATTAATAATGTTTTTTGAACCATTCAAATCGGTGGATCCGTGCGCCCGAAAACGTGAACGAAGAAATGCGGACATACAAAACACACGCACACATCATTTTTTTCTGAGGTATATCAAAATATTCAGAAACCTTTAAAATGTGAAGATATGGAAAAATTTTCAATTTTGTTTTTCGGCCAATTACTATAACTATCCTATGGGAAGTTAAAAAATTAACCGAAAATTTTATTAAACATAGTTTGATAGTTGCTTGTTTGATACTTGTTATGTGTTGTAATGTAGTTCAAATGGTTTATATCAGTGATTTCCAACCTTTTGGGCCCCGCTCTACCTTGAGGTTTCTAAAAACGTTATGCCGCCCATACATTTTTTTTTTGTTCCTGACAAAATGTGAATGATAACTTTCAAGATAAAATCGCTATTAAATTGTTATTAAACATCAATAGTAAAATTTCGGATTAAACCGAAAAACGGAAATTTCAAATTAATTTTATTACTGTTGTTTCGAAATTTATTTGATGTAATACTTAAGCTTGGTGAATGCTGCACAAAGAATTTGCATTTACACTTACAAAGCTTTAAATTCCAGTCTATACGCTGTGTCATTTTAAGTCAATTTCTTTTTTATCAATAAATTATAGCAAATGATTACATATAGTTTCATTTGTGCATTTGGTTTCAGTTTCTTTCTATAACTATTTTTTAACAAATTTACTTAGCTAGTTGACATTTTCTTAACTCAGAACGAAATTATATCAAATTTTCATACATCTTACACAAAAAGCATATTTATTTTGCAATGTGATATCAATCGAAACAATTAACCGATTAATAACTCTGCAAATTAGTACATAACAGCTCTGTTTATTGCTTAATCTACTTATTTAATTTTTTATTTATTTGAAGTTACCGTGGAATCGAAAAAGAAATTATCTAGTATTCAATCCCGTAAGCGCTAACCTGCGAAAGATTAAATTAATTATTGGGCATTATTGACAAAAAATTGCAAGTTGATTTAGTTGAAACGGAACATTTTAATAAAAATAAACAAATTATAATTGATAAAATAAAAAATGGAGAGTCAGTGCTTAGATAATGGCACGTTTATTCCGAGAAATTGAATTGTAACTTTTATTTTGTTGCAAATGTTTCTCATCTGATAAACTTTGAATGTTGAAGATATGTGTGGTTAGGGTTATGGAAATGGAACAAATATAAAAAATGAACGCAAAATTTACTATGGAACGAAAATTCTAAGGCTTTTTATACCTTGTGGTGTCCATACTCTAAATTTAATAATTAGTGACTATGCAAAAATAATACATATCAAATATAATTAGTTTTTTTTTCAATATAGTTTAAGAAATGTGTAATTTCTTTGCATTTTTTACTGATTTTTGGACAATACTTCTAAAATACGTTAAGAAATGATCACAATCACAATTGAAACAATCTTATACTCTGAATATGACAGGAAAGCAAGTATGAATACAATTCGGGTCTTACGATATTAATAAGGAGAAGTTTACGATGCAATTTTGGATATTGTAAATAATGAAACATTAAATTAAATTAAAATTTATGAAATCCAACATAAAATACGAGTGTTCTAATTAAAAATGAAAATGAAAAGGTAGTTTTTTCGGCGTGATTTGCTCAATAGAATAAATTGAATAATAAATAAGTAAAATGATTCAAAACCCAAATATTAATATTACACATACGTTGAAAATAATTGAAAATTTAAAAATATTTGATTATGATCAACCCGCGAATTGCCTCGATTTTCTAAATAAATTTAAAATCTATATTTTTTTACGCTTTTAGATTATATCTAATTTTTTGTGTACTACATCAAGGATAATTAAAAATTAAGTTTTTGAAAAATGTAAATATTTATATAAATTATCGATAAACTGTTAAAGCTGTTAAAATTAATAGGGGGGGGGCGCTAGAAAAAGAAGTTGTATGTGGGCGCTATGCCTAATTTTTCAATTGTGGTCTCAAACGATTTACAATACTTGTCTTGATACGTCGAGATAATATGAAATTGCCGAATCAGAATTTCAGGCGAAATAAACATCTTCTTCGGAAAGTTAATTAATAAGTGTACTTATTATTGCGACAAGTGGCTTTTTTCCATGGACTGTTAATACCAATGACATAAGAGAAAATTGTGTTCTGACTTTTTTGGTTTCTTTTTCACTGCAATTATATCCTCGCGAAAGGTACGAGACATATTATATATTGTTTATGTGAACACACTGAAATCGTACGCGGTAAATGTCATCACATTCTTTGTTCGAAAGTTATAATTGCTCGTTCGTATACGGAACGAATTAACTTAATCCCACAACATTTAACAACGCAATTAAATAAATCATTTATAACCATTATGTTTATTATAATAATAATCTTTATTTCATATTTAAATTTTTTTTTATAAAAATAAATATAAAAATATAATTTATTATAAATTTATTATAGACAGTAATTATCTTCCATAATAAATATATACTTGAAGTGAAAGTAAAATTCGTTAATTCAAAAACGAAGTATCATTTCATTATAGTTTCATTCTACTATTGTAATAATACAATACGATGTCAATGCATTTATTACAATCGTGCCTTTGTTCCGAATGTTTTAGTGCAATAATTTTTTTTTCATGCTAGTTGATGCATTACTGTAATTTTATTGTTGGAATATTTTCAAAATGCAGCAAGTTCGAATAGTGTTAGTTTTATAACAGCCACTTCTACATATTGAATGACAAAAAAAGTAGTCATCCCAAAACGAAAGTGACTTACGATCTTTCGCTTAATTGCAGGTTCACTTGCGTGATACACTTTCTTCTGTTGCTTTACTGATAACACTTAATCTGAAAAGTTTAATATGCCACGATCGTTTTCGAATCGCTTTCTTTCACGTATATTACAATTAGTCATGCACACAAAATTTCAAAATCTTTTGAAACAATTCCATAAAATAATTTACTTCCACTTCATGTAACTAAATAAGTATAGACTCAGTTTACAATTCGCTCATATGTACAAGATGGGTTGTGATAGATACACCGTTTTATACTTAATAAAAACTTGATCTAAAGAGGCGCTCCATATTGAGAGCCAGGGGCTTGGGCAGAACTGCCGGAGGGCGCGGGGGCGCCATAATCACCGCTTGGGGCAGGTGCTATGCTCTCGGGATAGCCTCCTGCAGCTTCTTGTTTCTGAGTCTTGTATTTGATGAAGTATACTTCGGGTTTGGCAGGTTGTGTTGGTGCTGGCGTTGGAATGATTACTTCTGGTTGTTCCTCTGGTTTCTTCACAAGTACATAAATCAATGTTTTCTCTTGGTCTTGTGGTTGGAGTGGGATAACTGGAGCAGTTGGGGTTGGCGGAGTTGGGGCCTTGATGAATACAATCTTGTAATGCTTTTGAGGAGGAGCGACATGGATTGGTTTTCTGTGATAAAAACGACAAAAGCTATAATATAAGTTCTTGATTCACGTGCCATTTTTAATTTATAATAAGTGCATTTAAAGATAATTTAAAATATGTTTACTACCAATGACAAAATATAGAGAATTTATAGATCTTCCGATCTAATATTATAAATCGTATTATATTTATGGTTCATGATCCTAGTTTGAATATGTTTGTTACTGCAAAGTCTTTTAAAATACCACAAAGTAGTGTCTTGAAAATATTGTCAAAACGCACTGGCATTTCATTCAAATCTGCATAGGTAAAATTTTTAAATTCTGTAAATTCGTGTATTTTTGCTCGCTTTTGACTAGAGTAATACTATGATACTCGTGTATATTATTGAAAATCTCTCTTTGTAAGTACTAGCTTCCATTATGTAAACTATTGTATTAGGAGTTGTAATTTATCATTACACTGTATGACGATATCGATACAGACCGAAACTTATAGATCAATAAAATTAATTTAATTACATATTGAATTTAGCTAGAAATCATTAAGAAGGACATTGATTTCTCTGTACGTTTCTAATCATAGAAAAATATCAAAGCTCATAAAAAGCAACATAACTATTAAAGAGTGAAATTAATAATAAATTAAAATTATTCTCTTCCTTAAATTACTTGAATAACTGTTTTTGGGATTAAAATTTCTATTATACTTTTCTTGCTGGGATTATAGTTGTATTTAAGTTTGGCGTATTGCATAATTTACAGTATGACGATTTACAGTATTTTTTCGCAATTTGTGGTAAAATATAGAGAAATATAATATAGGTTCAACACTATATTGTCGTAGATAATAAAATATGTTCGAACCTATCAAATCCAGGATTAAACGCTTGCCATTAGTTCAGCCTGCTACAAAAACTCATAATTATGATAGGAATATTATTCATATGATTTTGATAGGAAAATATTATATAAACTTACTGTGGTGCACTGTATTCAGGCTCATGTGGTGGAACATGTACGTAAACGTGTTTGTGAACTACTGGAGCTTGTTGTGGTGGGCCATAAGCCTGGCTTGATCCTGTGAAATGAGGTTGTGGCGGCAATTGCGGTGGGGCTCCGTAGCTACCTCCCGGCGCAGATGGACCCCCAAAGCCACCTCCTGAAGCCGAAGGGCTTGGCGCCCCATAACCATTTGATGGAGGTTCTGGTCGAGCGTAGGCTACTGCTGCTAAAACTGACAGCACCTGGACAAAGGTAATTTATTCTCAAACGACTATTCTGTATCAGTGAATCAATATCGGCTGTTTATTATAATGTTGAAGTTATTCCATACAAATTCATGAATAATCTATTATTTAATAAGCGAATTAAAAATTAACTTTCAAAATCAACTTGTTTTTGTACTATATTGAAAAAATCGAATTAATTTAAAACAGTGATGCATGGCATCGTGCCTTAAGGTAAATTGCTGCAACTTTCCGTACCGTAATGAAATATTCTAGGAATTTCAAATGTTTCCAAATAGAGTATTATAAATACTGTAACATTCATTATTAGTATATTATAGAAAAATATAAGAGCTTATAAACTGTACCACGACGTTTATACATATTTACATAAATTTAAAAAAAAAACAAAACTTAATCAAGCGAAGTTAGATTTAAAGACCTTATCACATATTTCTAAGAATTATATAAACAAAATTGCAAAGTTAAAATTGTTTTTTAACGTATATAAGTAAGCTTTAGAATTTTCGACAGAATTAAAATTGAAATCCGAATCATTTACGATATTCTAAACAAAAATATTTTTTGAAAATTGAATTTTTTTTTGTGTATAAAAAAAATTCGTACGCTTCCCCCAAAAACTAGTAATTTCTTCAGATTGTCAACACAACCAAAATTTTTTTTTGAACTATTCTAATCAGATGATCTATAATCTTAATAGCTGCTATTTTTGCAGTTGTTGCTCTATATCTTCAAAACAGCTGGAGCTGCCTTTGCAAAAAACTAATCCGTATATCTCTCCGTTAATATGAATTGAATGTTGAATTATTCAAATCGCTTGATTCGTGCGCCCGAAATTGTGGACGAATAATTATATCTACACAAGCATATACATACACTCAATTTTTTAAGAAAGTACAAAATGTTCAAAAACCTCTGAAACGTAAATATATGCAAAAATTTTCATTTTTGATTTTTGGACGCTGCCCTACGGAAAGTTAAAAAGCACATTGATTAGATTTTTTTTATTGTTTGAACAGCAATCAGAATTCTTATATGTTTTATAAGCTGTGATTAGAATATATATTAATAAATAATACATCTTTGTTTGTTTGAGCAACAATCGAGATAAGATTTTTTTAATCTTATTTTTGGAAGGTATTTCAACAATGGACCTTTCTTAGATTAATTTTAAAGAGTACTGGTATTACTACTGCTTGATATTATATATGAACCTTGGCATCTCAATCGATAAAACATATATTTATTTGTTTTTTTTCTATGGTCACATAACAACCTAAGCAATTATTAACATATCTATTCATATTGTTATGCATGACTTTATTCTTTCATGAAGCAAATAGATAATAGTAAAAGTGCTCATAGAGAAATATGGACAATTGATTAACATATTTATTAATTTGAACACGTTTTATGATTAATGGCATACGCGTATACTTACGTTCTTCTCACGTAGTTACTAATATTCTGAATTGTAAAAAAGTGGCGATAATTGGAAATATAGAAACATGAATCCAAATTAGGATGCTGGAGAGCATATGAAGCATATTTCTTAAATTATTTTTCAATATAAATAGGTATTTTATGCGTATTTTAACATTAAATATAACTGACTAGAACTAAAAGAAAATCTAAATTATTTGTGTATATAAGCATTTATCTAAATGCAATATTAAATTAATTTTCAGAAAAGAAATCTTGTTACAGCTTCATAAGTATTAATTAAAATTTGTTTAATTTACATTTGGTTATAATTTAAAACCAAAATTTATATGAGACAGATATTTATTGTAAAATATAATTTGATCGATAACCATTCTACGAAATGGTTGACTTTTGTTAAAAACAATTGTTAATAATTTGAAAACTAATTTAAACTATTTAATTAGCTTCTAGATACAAGACTTCTAGACAAGATTTTACTGTTGTTTTTTATTTGCATTAATTTGCTTACTCGAAATTACTGAATCAATTTTAAGTAGATAATTAGAAAATAAAAACAAAATTTAATTGTATGTCTAATTAAACTTGGCAGAAAGAAGTTCAGAAATTCAATGACCTCTTCAAAGACCTTTTCAGATTGCTTTCTAGTACTAAGTTTGGAACAAAAAACACCTAAATTTACATTCAAAATGTTTTCAATCATTAATTTATAATGATTTATAAATAATTATTTGACAAAAAAATCTAAAGTTTCCCGTCGTTGTAAACTCATAAATTCACTTATACAGTTGTGCGTCAACTAAAACATCGATTTTAAATACTTTCTCATTTCAATTACCTGCAGAATACTTGACGGGTTTATTCAAACAATTGGATTTATATACTAGTGATGCATGGCAAATGCTTCCCGTAGCAAAAATTAAAATTTTGACAAAAGCTTCTTATTAACTTTTTTGAAAAAAAACCTAAAATGTTTTTGCATTTTGATTTTTTTGAAAATTTTGAGTTTTTTTTTTAACAATCGCGCTGCGTAGCTGTTTTAGAGACAAAAAATATAGAATCGCGTAAGCACCGTGTTGCAATGTAAGGGATAAACATTGATCGCACTTTTAGCTTTTTTATTCAGACGTTTCTTCAAAATAGCAGAAAAGTGAAAAAATTTTCGTCCACGTTTTAGCCCGCAATTCTGAATCGATTATGAAAATTCAAAAACCGTTTGTAAGATATTGGTTGGGAATCATGCTGATTAGTTTTTGGTAAAGATCGGCTGAGCCGTTTTCTTGTAATAAAGTGTTAAAAAAAATTTTTCGACGATTTTTATTATTATTTTTTTGACGGTACATACCATAGTCTTCTAGATCATACTAAAATATTACGGCCCTACGACAATTGCTTTAACTTTAAAAGTTTGCAAAAATTGGTATCATTTTTTTGGCATTTGTCAAAATTAGGCCATTTTTTGTAATTTGAAAAAAAGTGTTAAACTTTTCGCCCACATTTAAGCTCATACTACCGAATCGATTTTAACAAAATCAAAAGCTGTTCGAAAAATATTATTTGGGAATGATACTGGTTAGTTTTAGGAGAAAATCTACCGAGCCGTTTTTTTTTTGTAATTAACTGTTGAAATAAAATTTAAACTGATTTCTATTGAACTTTTTTTGGCGATGTATATCATGGTCTTATAGAACTTACTAAAATTTTACGGCCTCACGACAAGTCGTTTAATTTTAAAAATTCATCAAAGTAAACTGGTTCAGAAACTGGTTCAAATATAAAAAACGTTGATTTTTGAAAATTTGCTTTTAGAAAATACTCCGAGTTAACGTGTTTTCGATTATGTGTAATAAATCCACTCGGTATACTTTAGTTACTCATAAATTAATTTATTTTTTATTGATTATGTCGATTATTTACACATATCGGGAAGTTCATGTAACTTGTCTCAAGGCGAAATACCAATACCAACTAGTTTTTGAATAATTTAAATCGGATCTTTCTGTTATCTCAAAAATCAAATTGTCATTTTGGAACATTTAGCCCAACATTTAGTATCATTAAAGAACATTTAATATCTTTGAAACGGCTGGACGTGCCTTTGCCAAAAAAATAATTAGCACTGCTCCTCATGAATACGAATCAAATGTTTTTTTTTGAAATATTCAAATCAGTTAATTGTGCTGCCGAAATCGTCGACAAAATCAGACATTATCTTAAGACTCTAACGACAAATCTTATGTTAGAATCATCTTTGAAACGTAAAGATATATAAGAGTTTGTAATTTTTAAATTGTTTCTCGATTACTTTAACTTACCCTAAGGGGAATTAACAAGTAAGTTACTATAAGAAAAAAGCTTGTGCGTTAGCAAATGTTTGTGAGGAATTGTTTTAATGATATGCAGATGGTAAGCTTTCCATAGTGCGTTATGGTCGTATAATGTAACAGAGGCCCATTATCGATTTGAAATTGATTGAATAATTATGCGTGACTTTCGACACCGATCACAATAAGCAAGGTGTTTAGACATAATGTATAATATAAGCAACCGATCAGTAACAACACAACACGGACGACGGACGAGGGACGACCATCGTCGACGAGTAGCTCAGGCGGCTATGAGCTAATGCAGTGAAAGTGGTTCATCAACAAAAGTAAGTGCCGTCTCTAAACCATTTCATTTTCTTTGCTCAATCTGTTTGTATTACATACACCAATGATGTTTCGATATAATCAGATTAACAGCAATCACAATCTAAATTCTTGCGCATCTAATGGATGTTAAAAGTTTTTTATCATTATTCGATTGCATAACTTATAATGACCCATCTAATACGTGTGGTCTGTAACTGGTTTAATTTTCATTACTTCACAGCGTGGTTATTTGGAAATGATGAACCCAATTATAAACGTTGATTTAACAAAATCAGACGAATTGAGCAATACCAAGTGATTCGGATTTTTAGCGATTTGTTGAAATATTGTGATATTCAAATGCGGTATGATGCAAGCATGTTAAGAATGCAGAATGGCTTAATATTGCATTTGATTTTTTATGGAAGTACAATAAATTATCAGATGGATTAATTTGACATTTTTGGAGATATTACTATAGTTTTTGGGCAGTAACAACTTGAAATTTTGTTCAAAGGTTTTAAGCAATCAATAGCAACATCAATCAACTGCAATCAACAAGCGCGCTGCCTAGTGTTTGAACCCACTCTATGTATCACGCAGTAGTGATATCAATTTTCACTTGAAAATATAGAGCAAAAATAGCTAATAGAAAATATCTTATTTCGGGCACTGTGGTGTGAAATGGCAATGAGAAATAATCTTTTCTGAATCGAGTTGGGGCTTAACTCAGCTCACGAACCTGCCTTAAAGCTGTACTACCTATTATAGTATATATATATATATAAATTTAAATAAAAATAATACGCTAGTGAAATGATGATCATCAATATTCAAATTGAACATAAATGATTTTAGTAAAAAATAAGATTGAATTGTAACATAATATATAATTAGTGGCCGTCTAAAATCCTACTATTA